TACTATTCCACAATTAAATTTGTTCAAGTAGCATCATGCAATAAAGAGTACACACTGAGTGATTGAATTACGCACAAGAAACAGGATCGATACTGCTATCACGTTCAACTGTGAAAAACGGAGCTTAACGGTCCCCCAGTTTTTTCACACATTGCAAGCCCTAATGCATCATACCAGTTTATTTGTCGGCTTGCGTAAAACTATCTACAGTGCTCACGGATTAAAACGTGACATCACATTATTTTGTGTAACTATGTATGCGGGTATGCGCAGTTCCTCAAGATAACCACGCGATTTTGCGACATCAGTAACGATAATGTCGCCTGTGATATACGCATTGCAGTCAAATTTACACTTATATCACCCTGGTTGTAGATGGCGGAAACTAAATTACGGGCTATTCTTAAGTTTTTCCATTTGGATCCGTGACATAGCACCCTGCTTTGAAGAATCAAACTAGCAACAAAATTTTAACTGCGTGTCCTTATCAAAACACACGTAAATATAAAAACAAGTAGAACGTAGACGAAGAAAGATAAATTCAAACGCAAGACAAATTCAAACGTGGGCTCATAAATCTCATGACACCCTTGGAGTTTGAGATATGCAACTCTTTTTTATTTGTAATTGCGCAAGTTGTAATTTATCCTTGGTTTTTCCTCAAGCGTTAAAATGAGAAAAATAAGACACAAGTATATTTACATCAATATATTTATAAAAAGTACAATGGCACAAAACCAACATTTTCCTGGCGTAGATTTTTTGATTAAATAGAGCACTGTCTGGATCAAGTGAAAAAAAAAAGAAAGTGTTGTCGTATCGCTTAAACAAAACAGCCTAATGACGTAACCACGATTAGCATAAAGTTATTTACTCAGCAAGCATGCAATGTGGTATGTTTTCGAGTTATCATAATATTTATGAACAACGTGCGAAGGTAATGAAAATGATGAACTTACCTCAACATTTAACCGAGACTTGTCTTTCAAGGAGCCTGTTAATCCTGATAACCTATTCACACCTTAAAGCCACCACGTGCATTCGTACTGCTTTAGGAAGAAGTTTTGAAGCAACGCTTGCCCGCAAGCGTGGGTATCCATTTTCTTCTCGCACGAAAAGTTGACGATCGCCAATCCAGCAGCGTACAGACGCACACGCACACAAAAACACTTCCACGTCCGTCCACAATTTCGCCACGTACAGCGAAGTAGATTCCTGAGAGCTGCGCGATTATCTTGTGTAAATTGGAGCAGTAGTTGAACACGAAATAAGAGCAAAAGGAATGAAAATTAACAAACTCGATCAGCACGGCACCCATGACTCCGGCGAGCAAAAAAAACAACAATGACGCGGACGGATACAGTGCACGCAGGCTTGACAATGAATATTGCAATGGATACTACATTACTCCTTGAGATCAATGATTTACGCACTTTTCACTAGAACTAAATTTTCCTGAGCTTATTGGTGAACGACGTTTCATTTTTTAACTATTATTGACGCAATGTTATTACCATACGACTGAATGTTTGTGCAAACTATTTTCTTCGTCGTTACTTGAAATGGGCCGCGGCACTCTCTTTCCTGCTGTGTCGACTGTCGACAGACTGTTGTATGCCACGTACGGCAGGGCTACATGGTGCCTACGCGCCACGCTTCTTCGAACAACTTTCTCCGAAGTGTCCACTCATCCGACGGGCGCCCTTTTTTGTATTTTTTTTACTGTGCGCACCCCTTGCAACCAATGCAGTCAGGCGAGTTTTTTCGAACAATGGACTTCAACTTCCTCCCGCGGGCCCAGAAAGCTGCACGTGCAAGACCTTTGAGACAGGCATTCCGTGGAGCTGAAATCGCTGCTTCGTGTACGCTGGCTACGAAGACGCGTTTCAGCGGAATTTTCATCTTATTTCGCAAGCATTTAAAATGATAATAATAATATTCAATCAACCAATAATCAATCAATCATTTTTTAACCTACCCAAGAACAACCATAGGGTCTTTCATGCTGGCGCGCGCGAAAAGAAAACAAAAACAAACAATACATTACAGACTGTCCACAGAAATGCAAAAAAAGAGCAAAAACGAGCAGTCGAAAAGAAATCAACGCACAATGGAAACAACAAATAAAAGAGTAGATATTCATGGAATGGGACTGAAAAATAATGTAGAATATACATAACCGTGGCGAAGGCTTCCTGAAAGACGGAAAAGGGAAGAATCTGTGCATGTGCAAAGCTACGTTAGGACAGGGCAGCCCTCACTGACAAAAAAAAATGACTGTAGACTATGAAAAACATAACGAATTGAGAAAGTTGACGTTAGATAGACTCGGTATTCTGTAAAGGATAGAGTGTTGAAAGAAGCTGGCAGGTACATGCAACGGTCGATTCTCTCTCGATAACTTACGCGGAGTTTCAAAATTATTACAACCGAGAAGGGCAGAATATCTCACCCTGAACTAGCTTGTAAAGAAATAACAGCTCAGCGCGATTTTGCCGGCCGTTAACTGATGGCAAATATAATATTCTAGCAGTGTTGAAAGGATTCTAGTGAAACGATGAGGGTAAATACTTATGAAATTTTTCTGGACTCACTCAGTGGCGCTACTGCTGGATTTAGCAAGGCCATTCCAAATCAAATATGCATATGTACTCAAGTTGACCACGACATATCGCGGTGTACAATTTGTAGAAGGCTGTAAAAGAACCGGATTCTCGCGAGATGTTGAGCCAACAGGAAGAGAATGAAGGCCTCGCATGGCAGCACATTTAATGCAAGTAGAAAAAATTCAGCATGCTATCAAAAAGAACACCAAGATAACTGATCTCAAAAAACTTACATAACGACGCAGTATGACAGCATATGGATTTGCTGTTGGGCGTTTTGCGAAATACAGCAACAACAACAACAACAACAACAACAACAACAATAATAATAATAATAATAATAATAATAATAATAATAATACACTCATATCATTCTGACATGGCCGAAAATATCTAGCCACATTGAATGAAATGCCAGTGTCCGGGTGCCCATGAATCTCTATACGTGAGTGTGCACTTGCGCAGTTTGGTGGGTATGTACCGGCATACATATCTTATAAGTAAGTGCACTACCGTGTTGGTGTTGAAAGGATATGTTCGCAAGCAGTTTGAATCGTTACGCGCCTGCACAACAAGGGGCTGTTTACATAATGTAGAGTTTGGCTTAGGTATCACGCCAGCCCGCAAAAAATGTGTCATACTAATTGTATTCACAAGGCAATGTTTAGGCTAATCCTGATGATGGCACGTGCGCTTTAGTGACCTCGACTAAGTAATGACACACCGACACAAAATAGAAGTTTTGTGAATTCGGCAGCCTACGTTAAATGTTGCTATAAAGCTTCAGCATTTCATTACATGGTCCATTAAATATGTATCACGTGTGAGTCAGTTGCACCTTTCTTAACGTACATGTCTATGACGTGAGATTTATTTGACGCTTGCAAACATTACACTAAATTATTTGTTCACTTGTGCAATCATAAAATTTTCGATAAATTTACTATGTGCACAGCCAGGAACATTATACGTAGCCAAAGGAAACGCAAGATGTATTTTTGCAATAAATTAGTACAACTTCCATCTTGAATGTAATCATAATAGTGCCTGCAAGTTGCATTCACGTAAGTTCTTTTTGTTTTTGAAAATACTCCCTTAAACATTGCACTGCGCATGCAATTATAGTAAATGGCTGCTGAAAGCAATCGCAGATGAGGGGTCAACAGGATTAAGAGAAATCTTGTTATATGAAGGGAGCATATAGCCATCAAAACTTTCAAATAATCAGAAATTTTGTCCACCGATGTGGAAGCTAAAAGTGCATTGAAATTACTCTTTCTTGCTGCCACTTTAAACAATGCATTAATGTGAACAATATAAGTTGCATGCATTTTGTCTTTACATAATACTATATAGGATTGCTCTATAATAATAGCGAGGTTCGGAAGCTTCAATACGTTTTGTGACTTGACACGATTCCTTCCTCGTAAAACATGTCTGCTCTTGTATACATTATTTACGTCGTATTAATTGCAACTTATTGTTTCAAACCTAAATGCTATGAAAAATGTACGAGTTAAATTACACGAATGCATGCATATATGCATTCAACTGAGTTGCAACTATCACGTACACAAAGCTGACCTGAAATTTCGGTTTTTTTTGCATGGCAGAAACAACATATATATTTAATACTCCTATTGTTATGAAAAACAAGCAGGTCAGCTTTGTGTACAAATTGTTATATATTACAATTCGCATAAAAGTGTGATCACGTTGCTAAATATATACGTGGTTCATCCCAAATAAGAGAGCACTTCCACATATAAGGATCCACTTGATATGTTATATATGGTGTGGCCGTGCCTTATTTGGCCAGATTTGACTCCTTATATGGGCCAACCGCGTCATATATGGCCGTATATAACCCCATACATGAACCGACTCCGCCAGATATACATCCATATATGCTTATATGTGGCCACATATGCTGCCATATATGCCTATATATGGCCACATATGCTGCCATATATGCTTATATATGGCCAGATATAACTTATATATGGGCCATGTATGGCGTTTCCGTAAGGGCAGGCCCTTTTGTCTGCTGCGAGGCGTACTGCCCTCGGCTATCATATCTATAACGACGGAGCGTCACGCGCGGAACTGCACGAGTGACATCTGCAGTCGCAAATACGCCACAACTGAGCATGTGCGGTGCTATTGATGTGCCTACCTTGCAATACTGATCCCTGTTTATGACCACGGATGCAACAACTGCTTTGGCCGTTGAATGTGCTGGGAACGATTTAGCAAAAAAAAGCGAAAAAACCAAGCGAAGCGTTCTAGCTGTGATATGATATCACAAAGCAAGAATAAGTTTAAGAGTATAAAAGGTGCCTATCCGGGTGACTGCTAGTTTCTTCTTTTATTTCGGTTCTATATTGTTGACAGCTATTCGACAGCAAAAGCAGTCATCGCGACCACGGAGATGAAGAAGGGGGCAACTGCAAGGCAGACACACCACTGGTGCCACGCATGCTCAGATGGGGTGTGTTCGTGACTGAAGATGTCGCTCGCGATGTTTCGCGTGCGTACTCTGTCGTTAAAGGCATGAGAGTTGAGCACTCTACGTCGGTTTTCCCTGCATGAAGACGCATGTTCGAACTTCCCCGAACAACGCGCCTCCCACTTACGTCACGCTAGCACACGTCATGGGGCTTTACCGATCCCCATTGGCCGCCCATGACAGCCCCATCCCTGGTAGCCCAGCGCCGGCCGCGGCGCCTCCACCGGGGAGATGCACCACACAGGCCTGCACAAGAGGTAGACGCTCGGTTTTCTAAAGTCCCAACTACTAGCACGCGTACGCTCGCGCCTACGTGCCAAAAGCGTCTAGTCCTACCGTTAGAAAAAAAGGGCGTGCAACAACTGGCACGCGTCGACCACGTCGGCGTTCACGCGTCCAAGCCTGATGCTTGAACTGTTGGCTTAAAACTATCCAAGTTCAGCACAAAACGACGCGTTCTCAGCTGGAGTGGGTTGGTATGTTTTAGAAAATATGAGAGCACGTTGAAATATTAATAGTGCTTCACCCATCACAGTTTAGACTATTTTAGAAGTAATTGACATATAAGTGCCCAAAGTAACTACAATGGTATGCACCAGAAATCAACATGGGTGTGTGCGCCACTCCCGCTTCGCGTCTAGGGTACTCTATGTCTATCATAGGCGTGCACAGGGTTCTCTTCAGGGGGGGGGGGGGCAAAAGTTCATCAGAGTGCCCCCTCCCCCTTGCTATTGTGTCAATGTAGGGGCTGACTTAGTGCCCTCTCCCTAATATGTTGATCTATGGAGTTGACAATGTGCCCACTTCCTCTCTTCTGTGAATAATGGGGCGACTGCCCCCCTAATCAGGTTTATAGACCACCGGGTTTCTATACCAGCACTACCAAATTTATTATTATTGATATTGTGAATATTTTGGTACATTCAGTACATTTACACTTCATATTTTATACCGCTGAACTTAATAATTACGCCGGAAACTTCATGATGTGATAGATTTAGTTCATAAGACAATAATTGAGCCCAGTGTGGCAGGCTTTCGGGTGATGTGTGTGTTAGAAATATTCTCTAATATAACAAAGCACGCTTGGCTCTCAATGATACAACAGATATAGGTAATAAGATAGGAAACAAGTACTGCGTAGAATGCCTTCGGGCATTTTCTCTGCACGAAATGTGCAACAATGTAACTGACTGTTCTTGACATTTCATGATGTGACAGATATTGGTCATAAGACTGCAACTAAACCCTGTATGAAAGACTTTTGGACGTTGTCTGCAGTCAAAGTATTCTATAAAGCGACAAAACCCACCCAACTGTTCACGAATTCACAGATATCGGCCATAATATTGCAATTGAACTCTGTATGGATGGATTTTGAACGTTGTCTGCCGCCGAAAATGTATCTAATGCAACAACCCACACCCTACTCTTCATAATGTGATGTATTTAGCTCATAAGACTGTAATTGTGACCTGTGTGGAGGGCACACTTGCTCCTCTTAATGATACAAGAGATACTAGTCATAGGGTTAGAACGGTGCACTACGTTAATTGCCTTTGGACATTTTTCGTAGTCAAAATACGCTTTAACGCAACTAACTGTGCCTGACGCTTCATGATAAGACACATATTGGTCATAAGACTGCAACTGAACCCTGTATGGAAGACTTCTGGACGTTGTCAGTAGTAAAAGTATTCTCTAAAGTGACAAACTGTGCCCAAGTCTTCATGAAGTCACATATATTGGTCATAATAGTGGAACTGAACCCTGTACTAAAGGCTTTTGAACGTTGTCTGCAGCCGTAAAGTTCTTCGATGAAATAAACCGATCCCGACACTTCATGCTGCAACAGATATCGATCATAAGATTGCAACTGATCACTGCGTGGAACGCTTTCGGATGTTATCTTCATTTATTTTAACCTAATGCAGCTTAACGCAGGGAACCTACATGAGTGGTGTACATAAATACCAAATGAAAGCATTTAAGCAGTAATATCGCAAAAGTTCACGAACAGAAACAAATATCGCTACTTCCTGAGTCCGGCACGGTAAAAAATGAGAGAAATAGTAGAACCTTAACGTCATACGAGTGCCTCCAAAAAGTCAGACGCACTGGTATCACGAACCAAACTAGGTGGATAATTCCAATGTTTAATCAATTTATTTGAATGCGTTAGAAGGCACTAAAATCCCTCTAAGTTAGATTGTGATTGCAGATAAGTGCTGTGTCGAAGGCTTTTGGACTTTGTTGGTAGTTTTTTTCTTTGCCATCTACAAAATGCGTCTGAAACTTCTTCATGCGGCAGATATTAGTTTTGAGATTGCAGCTGCACTGGGTAGAAAGCTTTCACCTGTCGTCAGTAGTCAAATAACCCTACAAGGTAATAAAGCGTGCCCAAAATTTTATGATGAAACAAACATTGGTCATATAATTGCACAAGAGCTCTGTATAGAAGTCTCTGGCAAGTTTTCTAACATAGTTAAACTGAATATCTTCATATTTGGAATATGCCTAAGTGCATGCATTATTCAAGTTATTTCTAATACAAAAAATACTTTAAAGGCTACAGCTCGTGCAAACACATACAAATATTCATTTTGAGACCATCTAATAATCTCTTCAGATCATATCAGTCTGGAGGAAAAGATTAATACATGCACTGTTCATAATGGTCTCATAAGTCGGATGAGGCACTGTTTGCATATCTTCCAAATAAAGTGCAGTACAGTTATAATGCACTTTCATTCATTCTGTACAAACATGTGGAGACACACTGTTCTCTTCCTACTATAGTGTCATCGAGCAGCCGATTTCAAATTAGGTGCTTTTTACTTACAAGGTTTTCAGCCTGTGATCTGTCCGGTTGTAAACAAAACTCGTTTTATAATATAATGAACTGTAAAACAATTGAAAAGCGTCATTGTTTACCTAGCTATGAGTATCAGAATAGACTAGAAACAATGTGTGTTTTAATGCTGCCAAAGTATGTGCTACCGATTGTGGCAAAGAAGCAGAACACGAATCGAGAAGTGAAATAGCAGGGAATACCTGCAGCACTAAATCATGCAAATTTCTTTCTCAATCGCCACAGCAACGCACGTTCAAACTTCTTCTTACACATGAACGGAAATGAAACCGCTGACAGCTTAATGTGTTAGTTTCGCTTGTACCCGGCACGAAATCACATCACACTGTTACCAACCAGCGCACGCTTGTTGTTAGCTTGAAAAGAAACGCAAACAATTATCACCGAACCAACGAATTTTTCAGTGTTGTACAATCCGCAAATACACTTATGTAGGTACGCGCGCTTCCACATCACCGAAATCTCTTGGCTAGTGCGAGGTTCACTTTCAGAGATGATGAATACCGATGCTGAAGACAAACACAGTGTGGGTGAAAACTTCTATGTAGGCGCTACAAAATGTTCCAGGCGTCGCATACAGTTGCTACGTTGCGACTAAAACTACCGTCGATTTTTTTTCAACCATTGTTCCTCACATGAGCTGGTTCATACGAACTCGAGAGGCCTACGCTGAATGCAGATGACACCGCTCCGGACTGACTTCGCGGTAGGCGAAGGCTCACGCTCAAAGCTTCAAACCTCCGAAGGTTATTTACACTCATTTTTAGCACAGAAAAGTCAGATGAAAGCGCAAAAGCACTGACATGCTACAGTAGCCTGTACAGTGTTTTCACTTGGCCGACGATCACACTCGGGACCGGTGCAAGCGCAGCCGGTCAGCATTCGCTGGATTTGTCGGCGTCGCTCGAACTCGGCACGAACCCATGTCACACTGGTAGCACTCACAGTCGTTCGTCGTGTAGTTGTCGTTATAGATGTCGAAGCGGTCATTCAGGAACATTTGGAGTAGTTTCCATGCTTGCTTCAACCACTCGGCCGTGCATTCGAAGCGGCGGTCATTAGGCACAACATTCGGAGGCATCGTAGCCTGTGGTTGGTTGGCGCTGTCGTAGGCGTGGTTGCGTAGATAGATATATCAAGCCCGACTTAATCCCTCGCGCCTCATCGCGTATGCCCTTCTAACGCCAACGCCGAGAGGCGCATTTGACAATTTTGACGCGTAGGCGTGAGCATACAAGTGCCAGTGGTTGGCACTTAAGGCGGCTTTTTGTATACGGGCTCGGCTGCTGCCCTTTGTGTGATAGCCCTAGCGCCTACCGGCAAGCGCACACTTGGTCCGTCTTGCGGAGTTGTCTGCCGGCCCACAAGACCATGATTGTCGCACTATGTTGTATTTTGGATGAATAAACCCTTGTTTGTTGATGACCAGCCTCGACTGCTATCTCTGCGCCATGTCCAAGAGTGGACGAACTTGTTCGTTGCGTCCTTTTGCGCAACGGCAGTGGAGATTGTCACGTCCCTTTCCGGTTGCTTTTTAGGGTAAACCTTTAGCAAACCTATCTCCCCAAGTTTTCTTGGAGAACTGAACATCGCGCTTGCGGCCGTGTGCACTGACCCACACATACGGACGCCACATTTGCATTGAAAAACGAGTGCCGAAATGTGTTTCTTTCTCTGAAATAGAAAGAAAATGAAGGCAGTGTAGCGAATTGAACAGTAGTTGTATTTTACCTACGATTTACAGCAACTTTTTTAGTCTCACAATAACCAAAGGAAAGCAGTATTTATTTCAGCAAGGAAAATGAGAAAATTGTCAGTAAACTTGAGTACTATTTCTTGCCGTGTTTACAGGCACACGTTTGGGTTCTGTAGCTTCTACAGTATTGCCAAGCAAAGTTGTCGTCGAGTGTAGCACAGTGTGTGGTTTATACGATGTAGCTTACCATGAGTTCGTGGCGGCTTATAGCCAAAATTGAGACAGAACACTTTCCCGCAAGTATGTCGGCAGGACAGGGGGGTATCAGCCGCGAAACCGGAACATGCCCATTCTAAATGGTAAACGTCTGGACACATTATATATACACCCCAACCGTGCCATGAGGAAACGAACGACTGTACGTGTGAAGCTGGCCGTTTCAAGTATTCTAAAATGTATACTGCAAGTACACTTGTTAAGTGCCCATTACGCCAAAGTTGTTCCTTTTGCAAATCAGGGAAGGGGCCAATGAGCGTCCGTGGAGCAACGCACGGAGCGCATTGTAATGAGTTGGTCTTCAAAACACCCACTCGTCGTGCATTTCACATATGTTGATGCCTGGCGCGATGCCACGCCTACGCCTCTGCCATACATTATTACATGTGTTTAAACAGGTTCCTTCCATCACATGACAGTCATATCGTCCTTTTTATTGTGACAGCAATTACATAGACACTCTCGGCTGAATTTCGTCGCCGGCGTCGGCATCGCCATCACTCACTGTATATATATATATATATATATATATATATATATATATATATATATATATATATATATATAATGAAAAGGCAAGAAACAAAAATAATCCAGAAAAAGACTCTCGCGCGCGGTATCGAACTTCGGGCCTCTGAGACGTGACTGTGAGGCGTTAAGAACTGAGCCACGGAGAGGCACGTACTTGATATTTCAAACGAAAAGCTATTGATAGCTACCACTTACCGTTGTTGACGGGCGTCTCGGGGTGGGGGGGGGTCTATCGTGTTTTCGCATTACCAGCAAGATGGCGTAATGAGCGCGCGTCGCCACATCAACACGACGCGTCGGCGCGCTCTCATCTCCAACGCGTACTTTGCTCCGCGGAGAGGAGGGGAGTGGACACTCGTTCGCGCGCCCTCATCTCGCGGTGGGGAAGATCGTACGTCTTGGCTGGCCTTGGGATTTCACCGGAATGATCCTGCTGTTGTTACCGGACGCACAAAGGTCACTGAAATCTTTGTACACTCCCCGTTTGCGAAAACAGCGCTCTTTTCGGACACTGCGAAGTAACAACTGAAAGGCTTACTTACGTTGATCTGTACCTAAGTTGGTATCGTGTGTCATTTGTGCGTGTGAAACGTGGGGAACACTTCAATCTGCTTGGCATTCTTCTCGTGACCTTCCACTTTCTTACTGTCGCGTTCATTGCTCCGCCTTTGCGGCAAAGCTGTCCCTTTCTTCTGTGTGTGTAATCTTGAGCAGTTGTTTCTTTCTCTCTTCATCCTATGAATTTTTTTTCTCAAAACAGTATTAATCAATGCGTGGCTCTGTGGTAGAACACCGCCTTGCCACGACTGCAGCCAAGTTTGGATTCTTACTCAGACTGATGTTTTTATTATTTGTTTTATTTGCATGTTTCTCGAATGTTTTTGCCATGTACAAGGTGATTTTTTCTCGTGCAACTGACGGCGCTGACGCCAACGCAAGGATTTTTGTGAAACCAACTCTTCAACGCTGACGACAGTTGAAAATTTTCCACTTGAGCTCTATCTTGTCGAGACGGCTGACACTTGACATTTTGCCCCGGACAAATGGGCCCCACCTGCTCAACGACGCCTCTGCGTCTCGTACTGCAAAAATTGCTCAGTTCACCACCGGTTGCCCCCACGCGGTGGTCTAGTGTCTAAGGTACTCGGCTGTTACCCGCAGGTCACGGGATCAAATCCCGGCTGCGGCCGCTGCCTTTCCGATGGAGGCGGAAATGTTGTAGGCACGTGTGCTCAGATTTGGGTGCACAATAAAAGCACCCCAGGCGGTCGAAAGTTTTGGAGCCCTTCACTACGGCGTCTCTCATAATCATATGGTGGATTTGGGACGTTACACCCTATATATCAATCAATCACCACCGGTTGATAGCGTGGAAAAAGATCACAATCCAGCAATGTCTTGACGCTTGAAATTATATCAACATTTATGAAAAATTTAGCTTGCCTTTTATTGCCACAGCATTCGATCTAGAGGGCTGCGCGTCTACTTCGTTTATGGGGAATTTGCGTTACGTAAATTGCCTGTCAATGTGGCCAGGCATGGTGGCTTTCGCCAGTGACTTTTTTTCATAGGGACAAACACCGTTTACTATTACTGCTATAAATTTTTTAGAGGCCCATGTGCTTTAATTTAGGTTCGGGTTACAGAACCATAGGTGGTAGAAATTTCTGTACATCTCCCCTATCGTGTTTCTCATAATTTTATCCTTTGGCTAACATCCAAGTGGTTCCGGACATAAATCTTCGAGTTATTAATGATGTTATTATTATGACTTTATTAGTAATACTAGTATGATTGTTATTTTAATAATAATAATATTTTTGCCGTACCATCACTTCTTTTTGCACATCTTCCCCCTTCCAGGTCAATTCGTTGGGCCTGGCGTACGACTTCGAGTCCATCATGCACTACGCGCGCAACACGTTTTCAAAGAGCACGCACCTGGACACCATCCTGCCGCAGGAGAATGCCACCACAAGGCACCGGCCGGAGATCGGCCAGCGGGTGCGCCTGTCGCCCGGCGACATATCGCAGACCAACAGGCTCTACAAGTGCCCACGTAAGTACATACGCGAGATTCTCATTAGGGACCATTTCATTAGCAACTGTACTAAAGACTGTGGGTGAGAAAAAAGCGATGACTCCGGTACGTATTGCTGAGTCATCGCTTTTTCTTACTTTTCTGCGGAAATAGAGAAAGAAATATATAAATGGAAAAGACGGGGAGGTTAACCTAGAACTGATTTGCTATCCTGTACAATGGTGGGAAAATAAGGGTCGGAAAGGGGATAGAGAGTGAGGGAGCATGCACACACATGCAGGGAGTTCCGATTACAGTCGTTTGGTGAGACCGGTTGAACGTAGGAAGCGCAGGAGCGCCTTTCTTCTGCGACATAAAGTCCTGTCGGTAGCGCAGAATTTTTTCTTCTAAAAAAGTCTGGTTGTCCAGTTGATCTAGTCCATTGCAGAGTGGCTGCCTCTGCGAACGATACTCTGGGTATTCGCACAGAATATGCCAAAGTGTTTTGTCTCTGCCGCAATAGTCACATGTTGCAGTGTGGGCCATTCCTTTGCGGAACGTGTACGCAGTCACTAATTTTTTAAAAGATATCTATAAAGGTAACAAGGTAATTATAAAGTGGGAAAAACAGGTATCCAAGCCTGCAGAGGTAAAACGGGGGCTTAGGCAGGGGTGTCCCCTGTCACCCTTATTATTCATGATGTACCTACAAAAATTAGAGGCCAAATTAGAGAGAAGTGGACTGGGCTTCAAACTTCCTTTCGTCAAACAAGGAAAACTCATTGAACAGGCACTACCAGCATTGATGTACGCAGATGATATAGTGCTAATGGTCGACAACAAGGAAGAGTTGCAGAGATTGGTGGACATCTGGGGTAATGAGGGAGATAGGTTAGATTTCAGCATCAGTAAGGAAAAATCAGCAGTCATGATTTTAATGACAATGAAGGTAGTGAGCGTAGAATACAGGAGGTCACGCTAGAGATAAGAGATAAGCACAAATATCTGGGCGTATGGATAAGCGATGGGGCCGAGTGCCTAAGGTAACACGAAATATACGTGTCGACTAAAGATAACAGGAATGAAGCGGTAATGAAAAACAGGGCACTGTGAAAGTATAATAGGTATGATGTGAGAGCAATATGGAAAGGGGTCATGGTTCCTGGTCTGACGTTCGGCGATGCGGTCTTGTGCATGAGATCAGAAGTTCAAGCAAGATTTGAAATTAAGCAACGTGGAATAGGTAGGCTTACCTTAGGAGCTCATGGGAATACACCAAATCAGGGAGTACAAGGTGATATGGGATGGACATCATTTGAGGGCAGGGAATCTAGCAGCAAGATAAAATTTGAGAAGCGATTGAGAGAACTGGGGGAGGAGCGTTGGGCTAGGAAGGTATTCAGCTACTTGTACATGAGGAATGTCGATACAAAATGGAGGAAGCGAACCAGAAAATTGACTGGTAAATACTTAGAAAACAGCAGGAGGCCAAACCAAAAAGAATTATCGAATTATCGCTTAAGAAGAACGTGAAGGAAGCTGAGACCGATATGTGGAGAATTGGCATGATTAAGAAGTCCGCACTAGAGATCTATCGAACTTTTAAACAGGAAATCGCCAAGGAAAGGATGTATGATAATACGCGGGGTAGTTCTCTACCGTTTGCGGCCAGGACGGGAGTTTTGCGAACCAAGACATATCGGGCCAAATAAGAAGGGGTAGACACGGTGTGCAGTGCGTGTGGAGAGGAAGAGGAAACTGCCGAACACTTGATAATGTTCTGTAAAGGGCTTCACCCTATAGTTCAGGATGATGGCGCATAGTTTTCAAAGCACTGGGGTTTAGGGACAGGGAGGTCAAAATAGACTTTAAGCGGGTAGAATTAAGTAGAAGGAGGCTATCTGATTGGTGGCTAAAGTCAAGGCACGAGTGAAAATTACACGCTTCACTGCAAAGTACAAATCCTCAACCTCAATATTTAAACGAAAAAAAATAAATCTAGTTTTTGGTTCATTAGGTATTATGGCTTGGTGGCACTAGCCACCGCCTGATCTAAAGCGTACAGCCATATCCATCCATCCTTCCATCCGTGAAGTCAGGCTACACTAGGAACTGAAAATAGCTTTTAAACGAATGCTGTAAAGAAACTTTCGGGCTGTGCTCACGCTTACCGGTATGTTTCCGACACTCTCTGGGGCTTTGGCTATCATTTGACGCAAAGAAAAAAACGTTAATTGAAAAATTTCTTCTCAGTAATCATTTAATGCGTCGCGTCTGTGAACAGAGTGCCAAGGCAACGAGGATACAAGAAAGCTAACGCGCTGCACACGGGTCATCTGCTGTTCGCTCACAATGTCCTTACTGTTATCTGTCTTTACTACAATTTATTGCAAAGCACGCAGTATATACGTAATGTTTTAGAGTACCCATGCGTTAGAGTTCACACATGAGTGCGTACGTTGCGAGTTCATGTGCAAGACTGGGGCCTATATAGAAAGAAAAGCTTGGTTTATTAGAAATCTGGCAGACAGGTCGGCCTACTGCAATAAAGTGGAGGTTCTCGCACATGGCCTCGTGGCGGGCGAATAAAATTAGGTTGTTCTTAATAAGCTACTTTTAATCGAGAGATTCAGACTGGGACGCTATCGCAGCGAGTTTCGTAGGATAAGATGTATCGTCTTATACCAAAATAACATTTAATCGTCAATATTATTTATTAAACTACACGTATTTTCGAAATGCCCTCATCATTAGTTTTTCTATTCTGTGACCAAGTTTATTTAACTCTGAGAGTTTTCTCCTTATATCTATTTATTCATTGACCATAGTGTTTGTGCTTACCGTTGTTGGTGAGTACGGCGTAATCCTGTGAAGCACGTGCATGGTCACAGGTTCCGTTCCAGGCCACAGTGACTGCATACCAGTGAGAAAAATAAAACACTGAAAAGCTCGTTTGCTGAGATCGAGATGCTCGTTAAAATGAACAAAATTCATACTGTCATCAGTATAGGTCAGCAGAACTTGCGTAGCTTAATCATACTCAATTATGAATTATAGTTCGAGCTTCAGACTCACTCAGACTCACATTCACGAAAGTTTTCCTGAGCCGGACTCAAACTCACTAAAACATTACTCACCCCGACACATTCGGACTCCGGCTCACGAAGCAATCTGAGTCTGAGTGAGTCGACTCAGGAGTTCGTTAGTTTGGAATTAGCTTCTTGGACCTTGGTGTCAGTGCTTTTTAACACCAATATCTCACGTAATTGGGGCTATTCTTCAAGCCATTTGATATAGTACGCTAGAATACGAGTTCTCAGTGCTTGCAAACGACTCAGGTAATTTTTATTTGGCAAAGATGGCAGCATAACTTCCTTGGAAGAGTTGGTGGTGGTAGGGGGGGGGGGAGCCAGGACACCCCTTACGTAATACATGCGCCTAGTCAAGAAATATTGAAATGGCGTATGACCGACGTGGAATACCGATAAGTAAACGTTAGTATAAACGTTAATTGAAATGAGGCGGATAGTACTGCTGAAGACGACTAAATAGGACCTTTGGTAGACAAAAAAAAGTGGAACTCACTCAGACTCACTCAAACTATACATATCGACTCACTCGGACTCAGGCTCACCAAACTTTTTTATAGGCCAAACTCACTCGCACATACACCCACAAAGCTTTTCTTCAACGAGACTCGTTCGGACTCAGGCTCATGACAGTATTACTCACCCGGACTCTTTCACACTCAGACTAACGGCTCGATCTGAGTCTGACTGAGTACGAGTGAGCCAGCTCATGAGTGAGTTCGCTGAGCTACGCCCATGAACGTTTCTTCGAATACCTCTAGTGATGCTTTTTAAGCCCTGCACGCAGTCTTAGTTCTTGCAGATTGACTTTACCTTTGTATTAGTGTTCAGGCTCGGTGCGTACATGATCGACGGAACGAACGATAAACTGTGAACGTTTTCGCCAAAATCCAACATAACCGTAGATATCGAACTTGTGGCTGTGTCTTCGCTAGACGTGCATATCTGAATTTACGGCTAACGTAAGCGCTGGTGATATCAGGTGACGCTACCGCGTGCGAGTCGAAGGCAACTGTACACCTTCGAAAGCGCGCCTCGCGAGGCGTATGCTTTTTTAGATTGTTCAAGTCAGCAATCGTCTCTAAACCTTTTGGGCGGGGCTTCCTTTTAGGGCTGCTCTTACAGCGCAGGCGAGGTTCTGCGGCACAAAAGGGGCTGTTCTTAAGGCCAGGGTCGCGCCTCTGCAGAAATATTCACCATAGAGTCATTCTAGCTCATAACCATTTTTCGCACCTCTGCAGGGCGTGCGGGCCGTGCTGTAGCGTGCACGGATGAGACATATCCCGTTCTTTTTATTGCGCGTTATCGCCGCCTGGCAGCTGCGTTGGCGTTTGACTAATGAGGGACATTTGTTCCATCGTGTTCGAAACCTTATATTAGGAATGCTGTGCCCGCCACCTTCTCTGTTTTAGCTACGTTGAGTGGTGAAGATGTCACCGGTGAATCAGTGGGGCTTGTCACTTACTGGCCGGACAACCGCTCACGCGAGAACGCTGCAGGGAGAGGCGTAAGTCGATCGCGCGCCGCTTCGTCTGTATATTGACAGATTGATGAACGCCCTTTCACATCGGCGAGAGGCCGGAGAGCCTGCCGCTCGACCACCGCGGAGTGTTGCCACGCGTACACAAAGCAGCCAGTGCTTCCGACTCAGTGCGTAGCAGCCGTTAAGGGAGATCAATGAACCCGATGCCCGTCTATTCCCCGTGTCCACTATGTATGACACGTCGTCCCCTGACTTGCTCCCGAGTGTGTGTCAAATCGGTGCACGGGGCGTTTATCGCGAGCAATATTCAGACGGAGGTGATCGAGTCGGCGCTGGGGATGATGGCACACTTAAGCAGAATCCTTAACGAACCTAACACCAGGTGTGCCTGTCCGAATCGTTGGAGATGATGGCTTGGTACACTTTGTCACGAGAGGATGTGGCAGGTATTAGACGAGTGTGGCGCT